CTTGGAGGTTGTCTACTTCCTCCTTATCCAAAAACAGACCCTTGAGCCTCTCAGGGATATGTGCTTTTTGCTCACATTTTTTATTATCTTATAATTTTTTCCTTTATTGTAAATAGATTTTTTCCTCCGATTAGCATTTCCCCTCCCTCTACTCTTCCCAGTTCTCCCCACCTCCCCTCCCATCTGAATCCACTCCTTTTCTGTCTTTCATTAGAAAACAAATAGCTTCTAAGGAGTAATAATAAAATCAAATATAATAAGATAAAATAAAAACTAACACATTGGAGTTGGACAAGACAAACAGAAGGAAAAGAGCCTAAGAAAAGGCATAAGAATCAGAAACATGTTTGTGCACTCAGGGATCCCATATAAACACTAAAGTGGAGGCCATTATATATATATGTCAAGGACCTGGTGCAGACCTGTCTGAGCCCTGTGCATGCTGCCTCAAGTCTCAGAGTTCATATGAGCTTTCATCATGTTGATTTAGAGGCTCTTGTTTTCTTGGTGTCCTTCATCCCCAGTGGCTCTTTTCTGCCTCCTCTTCCGAAGGGTTCCCTGAGTCCTGAGGGGAGGGATTTGCTGGAGCCATCCTATTTAGGGCTGTTACAGGGTCTCTCACTCTGCATAATGTCTGTTGGTCTCTGTATTTGTTCACACATTTGTTCTTGGTTATAGCAGCCTAGATTGAAGCTTAGCCAAAGAATGATAATAATGAGACTATATTTATTTAGCCATGAACTAATAACAACAGCTATGTACCGAGTTTTGTGGTTAGGCTAACTGCTGTGCTCTGGGTAATGCCAGGCAGCCCACTAGAGCTGGTGAAGGCCGGTGGGCTTTGAATGCTTACATTTGGGAATGCCACAGGACAGCCTTCTCTATGTTCCTTCCAGGTCTGCGCATGCACATCAGTCGAACTTGCCAGAGCTGACTCTTGAGGTCCCACTGCTGAGGTTCCTCATTTTTGTGTTCCCTAGGCTTCTTACCCCTCATGCTACATAGAAACAACATGACCTCTGTGTTAATGCCCTACAAACCCACTGGTGCAAGGCTGCTTTGTCCTGGAGAGAACAGAGGAGTGGAGGTTCAGGGCTTCCCCTCACCCAGTGCACAGAGGTAATGGTCTGGAGTTTTCTTAATGAGCTCCTGCAGACTCTCTGAACACTCCTCTCTTATGTCTCCAGCATTATAGACAGAGGGATGGACAGATTGCCAGAGTCCCTTCACATCTACTTTCTCCAGTGTCTATTAACCACTTGTTATTCTGAGGTCTTCTAAGTAGGAGTCTTCTAAGGAGACCAGTTTATGGTTCTAGCCGGGTTCTAAGACCATCATCTTTCTTATTGATTATCTTTATTTATTAAGTTTTTAAATGTAAATGGGTGTTGAACCTGCATGTATGTCTGAACATCACATGTGTGTAGTGCCTAAGGAGGCCAGAAGAGAGAGTCAGATGCCCAGAGACTGGGGTTACAGACAGTTGCTTGTGATCCTCCATGTGGGTACTGAACAGACTCAAACACAGGTCCTTTGGAACAGCAGTTAGTGCTCTTAACTGTTGAGCCATCTCTCCACCCCCTATTTATTTATTTTATTCATGTGTATATGTCTGTATAAGTGTCTGCTATGTGTGTGCAGGTATCCTTGGAGACCAGCTGTAAGTACAGGCAGTTGTGATTCGCCTGACATAGGTACTGGGAACCAAACTTCAGTCCTCTGGAAGAGCAGCAAGAAGCACTCTTACCCACTGAACTGTATCTCCAGCCTCTTGACCATAATTTCTTAATGGTTGTGACACTTGTTTGTAGTTCCAGCATTGTCTGGAGACTAAATAAGGGAAGTTGCAGGCTAGTCTCTGCAAACTCCTTTGGCAAAAGTCAGCAGATGTGGCTGTGATAAAGTACAGGTTTATGCTAGCACTTCCCTCAGTTCCCTCCAGCTTTTGGTGTCCGAAGTTATTTTTACTAAGTGAAATTCTCCACATACAATCATTGTCACACGCATTTGTCTCTAAAATGTGCTCATGTGTGAACAGGTTGGGGATTCCCAGCCTGTAGTATTCACATAATCTTTTGGAGCGGACACTTTAAATGAATGCCAATGATCTCTTTTTCTCACTCAGGGCTGAAAATATGAATTATTTTTCCTTCAAATATGAATGTATATGATAGGCCTTTTAAAATGCCAAGATATTCTTTATCTTGTGCATAGTACTGTAGCTCATTAGTTAGTCTTCAACTGCAACTTGGCTTCAGTGTCATGGTCAAGAGATAAGACACAGGGCAAGGTATTGGGATGGCTAACTTTTAGTTTCCTATCATCCAGGAGAGCTGCTCAGTGCAGCTGAATGGTAGATTATGTTTTTAATAGTT